TTTCTGTTAAAGTTTGACTCCGATTAGTGGGAATAATATGCGTGAAAAAGAAAACTTGTTAAATGCAAAATTATTAGATACAGTATCTTAAAGATAAGCAAGTTATTACAGGCAAAGGATAAATTCTAATGCCACTTCCATAGCGCGAAGAACAGTGCATGGTTATGGTTTCCTATATTTCTGGCTTAAAGTCGATCTCTGGCTGACTATTTGGTCCAATAGGGTGCAAAAGCGTTCCACCAGATAAAACCTTACAGCATTTATTCCACCGTCGTTAAGTCGGGTGGTAAAGAGAGCGTCCTATGTCCGATATGTTGAAGAGCTTTGCCTTATAAGGGGACTAACGAAGGGAAGTGTATAGTGAAGAGTATAATGAAAGCACTTCAGCTTTAAAAGTAATGAAAACTAGGCTTCTCCTAACTGGCACATCATTTCGTTTTCGAGGAAAAGTTATTGCATTTTCTTTTCCCGTGTAGGCTTAACGTAGGACAGACGTGCTCCGTAAGCTCGATAAGCATTTTCTCGACGACTAGTGATCCTATGTACTGAATACTTCGTAGCGACTCTAAAGGATTTCAAGCGGAGTCTTCCCTCGGCTTTGTACTGTCCGTTTTTGGTTTTCTAAAAGTTAAACCAAACAAACGACACACCAATGGGCAGTTGAGCACTTATTAGAGAAATGTCAGAAGAAGCAACTTGTTTGGAGCTTTCGGGACTACCTTATCCTGTCGTCAGCGATGGGGATTGCGAAGGTGCTACTCTATCATGTGGGCATTCATTGGTCTAGGAGGCGTGTCAGGTCGCGTGCCGCGGCATCTGGTTTCATTTGTAATACCGCTCAATATGACACTAACCTGCGCTCTGTTCTTACGGTTATTGAGGTGTTATCGCGTTTAGACAAGGACTCCTTTATCGTTCTTACATGAAATTGGCTCTCGCAACAAATTACTTTTGGTTGTAGGTCGCGTGAACGCTGAGAAGAGTGTTCAACTACCGCTGAACTGTTTATCGCCCCTTCCATGACCTGTAGTGAAATCAAAGATTTGAGACGGTCTCGGCGTTTCCCGTGCCTCTCTAATAAGAGAAGATTCAGTATGGAAGACAACTATTGATACGTTATCACTGTTGGAACTTTCAAGAAGAACAAAAAATTCCCACGTTGCTCTCGGTACAGTAATACGGCGGTCAGGTAAATATCCTACCCGCGAAATATACTGTACTTGCTTCCTCAACTTATTCCTTTTCCATAACTACGTCACTCCTACATTGCAGGTCGCCTGTGGGATAATGAAACTGCGGGATAGGAGCAACCTTAAAAGCACTGCGTGGTATTATGATTACTCTGAAGTGGTAGCGCATAACTTTGGCGCTGCTACCACTACTGTTAGCACCAGCTCGCGCAGGTCGGAGCGATTGGCGGAAAAGCGGAGTTCAGCGAAGAGAAAGCAGCTCAGTTCTAGACTGAGCGAAATTTTGCCCAAGCGTAACAAAACTCAGGCGCGCAGCGTTACTCCAATTCCTGCTAGTCATGATTCAGCGTGTGGTAAGTTTTATGGGCTTCGGAGGTTGCTGATTTAATCTGGCTGTTATATATGTTAAAGCTAGCAACACAAGTCGGTTAGGTCAAGTTGAATTGCTCCGGTTAAAGCTAGCAACAGACATTCATCATTTCTAGCTGTTGTCGATGATTCTGCAAGTCTGGGTAGGAGGAAACGTTTGAGGTTAAATCTTCATTCAATTACTATTTTTTCAGAAGTAGATTTTCTTTTCTTGTTGTGCAGTGCTTTTTCTAAACTTATTATGAATTGTATTGAATATAACAATGGCTTTGTGATGGAATATTTTTAAAGTGAAATTTCTAAGGAGCAGTAGCGCGTTCCTTTTCATCGGATTCATGCGGCTAATTTTTCCGAGTAGCATCGTCAGACCAACCACGTGCGCCTACCAGAAGCGGCTTGAGACCAGTTGTTCCCAAGAAGCCAATTTATTCGCCGTTACAAGATCGGACCAGAGGTTGCTGGCTCCCGAGTTTGACTGTTTTACTGATTTCCTTTTAAAGCACCGGCACAAAGGCGCAAAAATGGCGTAGAAAGGGCTCTGTTTGTCGAAGAAGCGTCTTCGGGAACTGTCGTTTCAAGTGGTCAAGCAGTTAACGGAAAAGCTGCTACTACTGGGAACCCTTTCGATGATCTAAAGGCTCGTCTCCATGCTTCCGCAATACCAAAGAATCTTCCCTGCCGCGAGCAGCAATTTGAAAAGATCAAACTTTTCATCAGCTGTTGTCTTAAAGCGGAAATTGGAGGGTAGTTCGTTTACCGTTTGTGCAGACGTCCTGAAGGCTTTTTCCTTAGGTGTATTTACATAAGTGGTGTGCCAGGAACTGGTAAAACTGTTACCATACGTCACGCTGTACATTCCTTGCTCAGCGACAAAAAAATCCCAAAGTTTTCTTACTGTGAAGTTAATGGAATGCAGGTACTTGATCCAAAGTGCGTATACTTGGAAATGGTTCGCGCCATGAAGAAGGCATGGAAATTTAAATCAACTGACAATGCTCGGAAAGTACTCGATCAAACATTCAGCAAGGTTGACCGTAACCGTTTACCAATGGTCCTTCTAATGGATGAGGTGGATTTGCTGATTAGCAGTAGACAAAGAGTTTTATATCAATTGTTCGACTGGAGTACCCAAGAAGAAGCAAAACTGATCGTCCTGGCTGTTGCAAACACGCTTGATTTTCCTGAACGTGTGCTAAGCAAGAGAATTTCAAGCCGCGTGGTAAGTGTGTCCTTTATACTTTTCATTACTAGTTCTACAAGTGTATTCCTTAATCCATAGTTTGTATTAATGCTCAGAGGCTTCAGAGTAATTAATATTCCTGCACTTACGGATAATTGGACGCTCTTGTTGCAACGCAGCTTTGGTTTGCTAGAGACAGCGTTAAGTTATCGATGCAGTTGCCAATTCTTGTGACATCTTTTATTTGAGGGGCAACTAATACACCAATGTGTTAAGGAAAAGAATATTGAGAACCGAAATTAGCGATCATTGAGGAGGTACCTGTTGAAGCCCCTCAGCCCTTGCCCCATCTTCGCCGTGGACATAGGATACAATCTGTTTCTCGTAGTGTATTTTAGAGAGCTGCATAGGTGGTAGAAGATAGCAAACTCGGTAGCTCTGCGCTGATGATGGGGAAAGCTAATCCTCTAAAGCTCTATGCCTCGCCATTGTTCCTGTGAGTGCATGGTTCCAAGACTGCGTATTACTGACAGTAGAGAGTAGCGCTGATTCTTATGTTGATTATAGTCTTAATATAATTCTGTATGAGCAGTGAGAAGAAATAGCATCAAGTTGCAGTATGGAGCTGCGGGGGTTTGAACCCCGGACTTCCCGCATGCGAAGCGGGCGCTCTACCACTGAGCTACAGCCCCTGCAGAAAATGGCAACTTAGCAGAAGGGAAATCTATAAGAATAGGCCGGCATCATTCAGGACTAAGTAATCACTTAAGATTACACCAACTGATAAGGTCATCTCATACATTACAGAAGTACTTCAGCTGACGATAAGAAAACGATGAGCTGAAGGAAAACATCAGTATGTTGGACAGCCGGTGGCAATATTTCTAAGTCGATCTTTAATGCCTTTCCATTCCTTTTCACTTTAAAGGTGAAGACGTTCTGCAACACTGATCTGTCAAAGTAAATTGAGTACATGTTGGCACTTTTTCTGCTTCAACTGGAAAGCGCATACTGTTCACTGTTAACAATGTAGTTCAGTACGTTAACAGACATTTCAACATTCCCTTCTCATTTGACATTCAGAAGTTAAACACAACCGCATCAATCTTTAAAAAGTATATTGAGAAGCGTCGGTCATTTACGAAAGCTGCAGAGTAGGATTACGTAACTGCCTTCATCTATCCACCATACTCTGGCACGTCATGCAAAATTTTAGATGATCAAATCTAACCTGAACGCGAAATAAACTTACAGAAATACCCTCGGAGAATTTTTCTACTGCTATTGTCACCACATGCCTTGCAAATACGACCTTATAATGGAGCTACGGGGGTTTGAACCCCGGGCCTTCCGCATGCAAAGCGGACGCTCTACCATTGAGCTATAGCCCCGCGCACGTCTAGTGAAATTCACAAGCATTTGCGAAAGCTGCATAGTACGTAAGCTAGACCGCTATGTGAGCATCAGTTCTTGTGGGGCTGTAGCTCAGTGGTAGAGCGTCCGCTTTGCATGCGGAAAGTCCGGGGTTCGAACCCCCCCAGCTCCATGGTAATGTCGTATTTTAAGGTTACCCTTTTGAAGAGATTGCGCCATTCCTGAATAAATTTTGCTGTCCGGCTTTTCGCAGCACACCTCCACCACCGTCGTCTTTGGCGGAAAGCGAACATAGGTTGCACAGTACGATGACAAGGTGTAAATACCAGGGGCAATCAGCGCACATCGGGAAACGGGAACGGACCTTAAAGTTCTTTTGACTCTAACCTCCGTTTTCAATTTCGCGCATGTATGCAACATCATTGTGACGTCTACTTTCCTGAACCCATTGTAATGGTTCAAAGTACTAATAGTCACACATCCCAAATGTTTCCAAAGACATTTACCGCACGCTCTTTGCTCAACATCCTTCTTCAGTATGACGTATTCACGATAATGTCATAAGAAGTCCAGAAGGGCGCTCTTGCA